CCATAGAAACGACATGCAAAAGATCCTTTTTTAGGAATATTCTCAATGTCCCCTAATATGCTTACTCTACCACCGAGGTCGTATTATTCTGACTCTTACTACAAGGTCGTACCCTTCTGGGCATCGACTCGCAGATGCTCGGTCGTCTGTCGTGCTCACTGCAGGTCGTGGTCGGTCAAATTCAAACCCATACACCCTTCACTTGGTGAGTTTCATGCCTCCCACAGTTGACCGTGGAAGGTTCAAAACCCATCAGCAGCGCAACATCCTCTTCTCCTTTCCCCCTCCGCCCCCACGCTGATATAATTCTTTTTTAATTTTTTTTTTTGAAAAACATTGTGAAGTAGTTGCTTATCATGTTTTGGAGGGTCTATTAATATTGGTGAATTTCTGAAGAAAAGGAAAAGCTTAGAGAAAAATAAAGCTTGAAGCGATCACCTGAGAAGGAACAAAATGAGTGGCAAGTCCAGCAGCTACCATTTCTTTACCCCTTAATTTTGCTCCTGTTAAGCCCAAGTATTCCCCTACGTACAAGTATTTAACATCACATTAGGGTTAGGTTACATGTACCTCTTGTATTTTTATTTTGTTTTGGTTATTGATATACGAGGTAGAGGTCAAACTTAGCTCTCACCTTAAAGGTGACTTTTAATAATTAAAAAAATTATCCATCGGAAAAATTACATGTTCTTTCTTAAGCGTTTACCAAGTCGACCTGGAAGACGCGAAAGCATGTATGAGAAGCCACAGTCTGGGTGAAACCCTAGACTTGTTTCAGGAGTAGAACAAAACTACAAAGTTCAATCAACAAAATATTAGAGTTGATAAACCAGGTCGCTCTTGTTAAGATAATTACATATAAATCTCTTTATGATATAAGCATTAATTGATACTAACCGCCTTTTCAGTGACGACAGAGAACTTCATTGGCACCATCAAGGATGCACCTCCACCCACTGCCATTCCATGGACAAGAGCAATATGTGGTTTCTTGTATGTATGAATGTGGTAGCAAAGCCAATACATTCTATATGTACCTTCAAGGCAAGAATCCCCTTGAAAAAAAAAATACATGTGCTCATCAGTTTAAATCAACTTGTAATCATCATTCAACAACAATAACAATAGTAACTACGCCTCAGTTCCAAATAAGTTAAGATCGGCTCGATCTATGAATACTTATTTCATTTTTTTCAGCTCAGGTCATATCATCAACATATCAAATAAAGAAGAAAAAAAAATGTAAAAAAGAGTAAATTTAAGAACTAGTTACTTATGTTTCGGCGATCATAGAACGTTTTTAAGTCTCCACCAGCAGAGAAAGTACGACCAGCTCCCTATTTGTATTACAAAAGAATGAATGAATATTTCAAGAAATAGCCAAATTTAACATCAAGAGAAGGTAGCAAATATATACTTACTAAGTAAAATAGATACTTGCCTTGATAATTACAAATTCAGCTTCATCATCTTTCTCGTATTTCTCAAATTTCTGCCCCAGCATTAATACCTAACAAAGGAATGATATTTCCTTATAAGTATGTTATCAAAAAAGAATGATGCCATTCTATACTAGAAAACAACTGATATTTGAACTTTTCATTTACGATTAATAACATGCTTTTATAGCCACATAAATCTCATGACATGTTTATTTAACACCGCAAATTTTAAAAAGATTTTCTTTTTCTTTTCTTAAACTCTAACTCTGCAATCAAACTACGCCACATGAATTGAACAGAGAGAATAATATACCTCTCTCTCCCCTAAAAAATTTAAATGGTTAGGCCGATTTAAGGTGAGCACTCTAGCATGACCAAGTTCCTTAGTAATAATAACCTGGCAAAGAAAAAAAAAAAAATTGAGCTGCATTTTAATTTTAAACCTTAGTGCACCAACAGATCAATAAGAGATATCGAAAGAAGGGTTATGGTGGAGTGATAAGTATTCCTTCATCCTTAACCAGAGGTCTCAGGTTCGAGTCCCTGGTATGGAGTCGCCTTTGTTAGAGATCGCTTTACCCCCAATTAATGTGAGACTTTCCGGCGCGAATCTGGATTTAGTCGGTCCCCAATGTGGGTACCGGACACCGGATGAGAAATCAAAAAAAAAAAAAACTTCACCAAAAGGAAAATATATATAATTCTGAAAAAAGAAATCTTGATGTTGAAACTTGAAATTACCTCTCTATTTGGTTTCACTACTTGTTTAGGCATTGAAATATTACTACTGAGAGCAGATATTATTGCCATAGCAGCTAACTAATCGACACAAAAAAGAATTGAGTGCAGAAATTGGAAACTGGACAACGAAAGGGAAATGCAAAGATATATAATAGAAAAGAGATGCAATATGTCAAAGTTATGCAATTAATCTAAGTATATAAGTAATCGTTATTAATTGGCAAAAGCAACAATCGAATATTCATAAGTTAAATTAAATAATTAAAAATGTGTCAAATAAAGGACGTGCAGAATGAAAGATGGGCACTCTTTATGTGGTTGGTACTTAGTAGGAGTTTTTTACTTAATTTTAAAGTCAAACAAAAATTTATATACTATATTAAAAGCACGAAGGTCCTTAGCGAAATGTCGTTCGCCTTTTTTACCCTTTAAAATTGGAGTTCACACTAGACAAAATAGTCATTTAATTATTCTCCTAATATTTAGTTCTTGAAATTGACTAAATTTTTTGTTATTAAATTATTTTCCATTGAACTAGATAGGAAACCCTAAAATTTAGGACTTTAAAGTCAATTAAAATTTTACCTAACTTAAATATTTTCCTTATTTGAATTATATATGTCACATAATTATAATTCTTACATGTTGCTTTCATGGATATATATTCTGTGAAAAAAAGTAAATAACGTGTGTTTTAAATAAAATTAAAGTAAATAACTGATCCATCAATTTTATGCCTAATATTTAAAAAGGCACGTAAGAAATAGTGCATTTAAGTCATAGTTTTGATTTAAAAAAATGAAAACATTAATGATAATTCATATTAAGGTGGCATGAATTTAGACTTTAAAAAGCAATTATGACATTCTATTTTCTTTTAACAATAAGGACGTAGAATTTGAAATATACTTACAAGTTTTGTCCATTTTTATTGTCTAAATATTAAGAAATAATCAAATGATAATCTTTTTTAAATGTGACATTATTTTAAATGGTAGAATAAGTTGATCAATATATATTTTGTACACAAAAATAGGAATATAAAAAGAACATATATATGTAATTGGTCGCGAGTAAAAGTACTTTAGAAAGAAATTTTAGGTAAAATAAGATAATATTTGAGCAAACAAAATTAATATAAAAATTGTTAATAATAATCGAGTTCGGATGCCTATATGATTATTAAGTTATTAATAGAATAAGGTTACAGCTTTAGCAGTACCGTAAAATGAGTAAAGATAAACAAAAATTAATTGTTGGTAAACTATTTTACATAAATTTTTTAATAAGTAACATGAAATATACATGCAATGTACGTACCCAAGTCCTCAAGTAAAGTTGAATGATATTTTTACCTTTCAATCAAACGCTACTCTTATAACTTTTTTTGTACAATAAAGCAAACAAGAGAAACTACTGAAGGAAGAACTATTATACTAGATCAAACTCCTAAGGAAGAACTATCCCCACACCATTGCGACAGGAGGGGGCTTTCCCATCAGCCTACTTTGCCAAGAGGTGGCAGGAGCGCAACGACCTTAGCCCAAACCTACTTAAACAACCTAAAGGCTTGGCCCGGTCTGAAAGTAGACCTTGTAGAAAAGCGGATAGGAAAGGTAGCCTATAGACTCTTAATTTTATATAATAACATAAACATATTTTTGAATATTATTTATTTTATTTATAAAATTTTATTTTTCATTAACACGAGGGACACGCGCAACGTGCGTATGCTAAAATTAGTAATGATAAAAGTTGGCGCCGTGCTGGCTTAAGTCGGAATAAAAAAGTGCATTCGCCTAAATTTTGCTCTTTTTGTCCCCTTCGTTTGCAAATTGACATTTTTATGATATCTACGGACAACATTTTTTATGCTTTTATTAATTGTTTGTGTTAAAATATGAGTCTGAAAAGGTGAATTTTTGTGATAAAATTTTTCTCATGTGGCAAAATGATGATGCGGCGATGACATATCATTTTCCGGCACGGGAAATTTGATTTTGGGTTATTTTTATTTTTTTGGTAATTACAATATAGTTTAATGACATTACTGTTACGAATCAACATTGTTTTGTTACGTTGAATGTGTCGGATCCTGTATAACTGTGGCTTTCGTGTTGCAAAGAGTAAGTTTAATTACCCTCCAATCAAATGTCACAAAATGCTGGGAAAGAAAGTGACACCAGTAAATAGTAAATACTGATAGTAGTAATTTAGTGAACGTACACACTTCCATGCTAATAATTAACTTAGAGAAAATTTAAAATTTATGGGTTCGAGATTCTAATTAATTTAAGTTATTGAGTTCTAAATTAATAATTTATACATATTCAATGGATATATAAACAAAAATAAGGTTCGAATCAAAGCTACTGGTTCAGTCGAACCCGCTCCCTGTACTCTAGTTCCGCGCGTGCTTAAGTATATCCTTCTTTCTTTAGACTTCAGTGTAGAAAAGACTGCCCAAAGCTTTTGCTTTCTCCCTCAAGATGAATTTCTTTACTTTTCCAGTTGAAGTTTTCGGTAAATCTTCAAAAATTACTGTCCGAGGTGCCATGTAATGAGGCAAATGATCCCTACAAAATTTGATTATTTCCTGTGAAGTAATTTTTTCCTCAAATCCTTCCTTCAGTTTAACAAATGCACAAGGTGTTTGTCCCCAGTGATCGTCTGGTCGCGCTACTACTGATGCTTCAACTACTGCTGGATGTTTATACAAAACTCTTTCAACCTCGAACGAGCTTATATTTTCGCCTCCTGAAATTATAATGTCTTTTAACCTATCCTTAATTTCTATGTAACCATCTTGATGTTTTACAGCAAGATCACCACTATGAAACCATCCGCCTTTAAAAGCTTCTTCGGTTGCTTTAACATCTTTGAAATATTCACTCATTACAGTGTTTCCTCTTAACATAACTTCGCCAATTGTCTTTCCATCATGTGGCACTTTTTCCATTGTCTCACGGTCTCTGACTTCAACATCTTCAATACAAAGATGTCGTACCCCTTGTCTTGCTTTAAGCGCGACTAGTTCCTCAAGGGGTAAAGAATCCCACTCAGGTTTCCACAAGCAAGATGTTGCTACACCGTAAGTCTCTGTAAGTCCATACCCGTGAGTTACTCCAAATCCGAGCTCCTCCATTTTGGAAAATATATGAGGAGGCGGTGGTGATCCACCTGTTAATATTTCCACCTTGTGTGGAAACGGCTTCCTGAGACATAATATAATTAAATAATTAAAAGTATGTTATTCTGACAAGCAAGCTTTTAGATTAAATGGTCAACATAGTTCTGCACCTATCGCTTGGTATGGAGTTTGCTATCATGTTTAAGACTNATGAGTTACTCCGAACCCGAGCTCCTCCATTTTGGAAAAGATCTGCGGAGGCGGTGGTGATCCACCTGTTAATATTTTCACCTTATGTGGAAGCGGCTTCCTGAGACAGACATAATATAATTAAATAATTAGCGGCATGCGCTCTTTTAATCAAACTTTTAGATTAAATGGTCAACAATAGAGTACTTTTACACCTGTCACGGTTGGTACTGCGCCCATATGTGTGACTTTGTAGAGAGAAATACTTTCAAATATATTTTTAGCAGAGATATGCCTAAGGCAAACATTTGTGCCACCAATTGCAGCCATTCCCCAAGTCATGCACCATCCATTGCAGTGAAACATCGGAGATGTCCAAAGATATGTAGGCATCGAACCCATTCCATAAACCAGAAACGTAGTACTAATAGTATTGAGATACGCGCCTCTGTGATTGTAGACAACTCCTTTGGATTGTGACGTTGTTCCGGAAGTATAATTGATACTGATTGGATCAAATTCAGTTTTTGGCCACTTTATTGTAAAATTCCTACTCCCACTTGTCAAAAGATTTTCGTATTCATGAACGTTAGTGGACGACGATGTCTCAAGTATAGGAGGAGAGGAATTCTCAGATTCAGGAATTAGCACTAGAATTGGTGGTTTCATTGTTTTGTCTTTTGATAGAAGACTGAGTGCTTCTTGAGCAATTTGGAGCAAATGCTGATCAACAAATATGATTTTGGCTTCTGAATGTTTTAGTAAGTCAGCTATCGTTGACGAATCAAGACGCGTATTTAATGTACAAATAACTGCTCCAGCCATTGGTACAGCAAAATGCAGCTCCTGCATTGCTGGTACATTAGGAGCCAGAGTTGCAACCTGCAAAAATATAAGAAGTTAAATCACTAAAACATTTACAAGCAAGAGTGAAAAGCAAAACGGTTGAGAGAATAAAGTCTCATATTAGTATCTGAAAAGATTGAGAATCTAAGGTAAAGATCTCTTAATTGTGTGAGCTTAGTGGAGAAAACATGCATGCTTAGGCCCTAAATGGACAATATCGCAAATTAAGAGTATCTTAAGTTGGTAAAGCCCAACGGATAGAAATTACTCGCCCCGTCTACTTTAATTGATTTTTTGGATGTTTTCACACATAAAAAGAAATCCACCTTTTAATATTAATTAACAATGAAATTGGCCATATTAACCTTAATTTGTTCATTGAAAATACAACAACTATTTCTAAACTCTTTATTCAAAGGACAACTTTTCTGAAAAGATCAAATATTATGGACAGCAAAAAAAAAAAGAGCCAAAAATCAGTTAAAATGGACCGCAACGAGTAATATTTTACCACATTTCCACGAGAAATTCCTAGCTGAACCAAAGCTGAAGCAAGTTTTAGACACCTAGAATGTGTACTTTCCCAAGTGTACTTAACAGAAGAGCCAAACACAACTGAAGTTCTATCTCTAAAAACATCTGCTGCTCTCTCCAAAAAACTTATTGGTGTCAATGGAACATAATTTGCTGTAAATTTACGGGATTCAATTTCAATATTTCCAGTAATTTGGGACAGGTGGCGGACGCTCTGAGTGTTGATTTGGACTCGGTTGAAGCCATTAAAGAACTTTTGAGCCAATTTAGAGCTTTTGAAGAAGTAATTCATGGTACGGAGTAGTGGCGAACCGCTATATGGTAAGAGGTTCAATTGAATCCCGTTCGTTGAAAAAAACATACTATACAAGTAAAAATTTATGTATATAGAAAGAATTATTTTAGTGTAGTACTAATTTCTGACTCATGGAGGAGAAACATCAGGTCTTTATTGAAACTGGTCCACCCCGAAGGTAGCTTAAGCATAGCCAGCAAAAATTGAAATGCTAAGCAGTTTAAATTTCATCAACTTAAACAACCATTTTAACTTTGCTGCTTTTGGTTCTTTTGAAATATAATATATACCACCAGCATTTTTTCCACAAATATACACTTTCACATTTTTTTCCTCCCCGGTCACCAATAATGAAATGAAAATTTGAAATATGGCCTTAGTTGTAGCATGTTTGGCCAAGTATTTTTTTGGCAATATATATTTGTTGCTAAAAGTGTTTTTTCCTAAATTTAAGGTCTTTGGCCGAGCTTTTAAAAGAAAAAAGGTATTTTTGTATAGAAGCAGAAGTTTTTGAGAAGCAAAAAAAATAATTTCTCCGTCAAAGCATTTTTGAGAAAAATACACTTAAAATACTTTTTAAAAGTTCGGTCAAACACTAATTACTGTTCAAAAGTATCTTTTAAATTAATTAGCCAAATACAAACTGCTTTAATCAAAAGTAGTAGGAGTATATATTTTTTTGACAAGAACTTTTGGGAAAAATAATTTTTAAAATAAACTAATTTAAAAAACATGGCCAAACAGGCTATTAGTTTCGCATAAGCCATGATATTGACATTTTCAATTTAAGTAACGTAAAGTTCAAATTAATTAGTTTTAAAAAATTAGGTTTTCCAAAATTAAAGTACATTGGAGAATACATTAATAGCCTGATTGGCCAAACTTTTATTTTTGGCCAAAAGTGCTTTGGGCAAAAAATTGAGATGTTTGACCAAGCTTTTAGAAGGAAAAAAGTGCTTTTGAGAAGAAGCAAAAAATAGCTTATGAGAAGCAGAAAAAAGTAGCTACTCTCCAAAAGCACTTTTCTGAGAAGCACTTTTGAGAAAAATACACTTAGAAGCAGTTTTCAAAAGTTTGGCCAAACACTAATTACTGCTCAAAAGTATTTTTTCATATTAATTAGCTGTTACGCCCCGTAGTATTACGTCGATGTTACCCTCTGCAGTAATATATTACGATGATGTTACGCCTTGCAGTATTACATTACAATGATGTTACGCTTCGCAATATTAAGTTACGACAGTATTGCACCCAACAATATTACATTACAGTGAAGTCACGCTTCGCAGTATTAAGTTACGACATTGTTGCACCCAGCAATATTACATTACGGTGATGTCACGCTTCGGTATTAAGTTACGACGATATTGCACCCTGAAGTATTGTACGTTGAATTTGTCGCAAGGTAATTGACATCAGTCAAAGTAAAAGATTATTTGGAGATTATAAGGATTATGCTATTTCACAAGTGATTAGTAAATTCATGATGGTGAAAGGGAGAGCAAGTCAAAGAAAATAAATTTTGTTCAAGTTTGGCATTTTGAGATATAATATGACCCGAGTTAAAATACCCGATATTTATGGGCTAGTGTCATACAAGACTACATGACCATGCTAGTAAGGTGTATAAGGTATGTGAAAAATGAGTAATACCTTAAGTAAGTGAGAATAATTCTCAATTTTACGAATAATTAATTAATTACCGGTAACGAGATATTACCTAATTAATTGGAGATATATTTGGATAAGAAAAATCCCTTACCCCTAAAAACGTGGCAGCATTTAGGTAACCATTAGTCATACAATCCTTACCCCCTATAAGGTGGCTATCTAAGATTCATTTGAATTCATAAATAAAAAACTTATTAAGGGACTTGTTCCATTCCATTTGAGCAAAGAACAAAAAACCTTCATTTCCTAGTATCAAAAACGTTCTGTCCCATCTCATTTAAGCAAGAAACACATATTATCTTCCTAGTCCAAAAACTTCAAGAACAGAAGCTATTCAAACCACAAAAGCTCCAACGATATTCCTGCAACAAAATAATTCCGACGGGAATTGTTAGAATCGTAGTAACATAAAATTTTGCGGTTCTAAAAGAGTACGGTGCAATCTTTGCCAAGAATATTATATGGAGTTTTCCCTACTCCAGATATGTTAACGCCATCCCTTCTTTCTTTTCGGCATGGTCCAAGTTATATAGAAGAAACGACCAAATGCACAAATTCCATAAATGATTCTATTCATAGAAGTATTAGAGATATCTATGTTCTTGAATTTCCATGTATCATACTATTTTATAATNCATGTACCTATGCACGACATGACATTCATACGCATATGCATGACACTATAATTATTTCATAATTAACAAAGTTATCCAGACTTACAGGTGGAGTCATTTACTCTATATGTCCTTCATGTCTATTATATAGTTATTTATGTGCCTTACATACTCGGTACATTATTCGTACTGACGTCCCTTTAGCCTGGGGACGTTGCATTTGCTTCGGAGTTGGTGCGGAAGATGTTGGTGCACTCCATTTGCTTCGGAGTTGCTTAAGTGGTTAGTATGATTTAGACGTGTATTGTTTGGTATCGCGAGACTCTGTTCCGACCTTTATGAAAATTATGTATTCTTAGAGGCTTGTAGACAGATGTCATGTACGTAAAAGATTGTATGGCCTTGTCGGCTCATGTTCAGTACACGAGTGGCTATTTTGGTCTTATAGGCTCGTACTTCATATGTATAAGTTTGTATTCTCTCATACTTTACTCTAGTTTCTTTACCTATGATAGAATGTTATGAAAGATACGTTACGTTGGTACTCGGTTGAGTAAGCTACCGGGTGCCCATCGCGGCGCATCGATTTGGGTTGTGACAAAATGGTATCAGAGCAGTTCTGTCCTAGGGAGTCTACAAGTCGTGTCTAGTAGAATCTTGTTTATGGGTGTGTCGTGCACCACACTTATAAGCAGGAGGCTATAGGGCATTTAGGACTATCACTTTTTCTTCTTACTCTAGATCGTGTGGTAGAGCTCACTTATAAGAATTCAAATTCCGAAATTCTATTTTATTCGTAATAAGACGATACCTACATCCGGAAAGAAGGTTGGAAAGAGAGATAGCTGTGGAAGAGCTAAGTCAGAGGAATTCAATTTTTGTATGATGCCTATGATAAGTAAATGTGAGGTCTTTAACAGATCATGGGTGTACTGAAAGGTGTAAGTTTCCTGATAAGAAGCCTTAAGGCAAGAATACCTATCCACCTTTATGGTGAAAGAAAATGAGAGATTAAGAAGATAAATACAAGTTTCAACAAGAAAAAGAAGCAAGATGAAGAAGGGTACGAGGCACCCAGTTAATGAAGGTTAACAGTGTTTATAATTCAGGCAGAGGAACATAAGCGTTTTGAGTTATAGTCAACAGTAACAAGAGGTATGTACAATTGGTCACACCCATCTCAGTTATGCCCGGTGGGGGGGCTAACAGGTATAGTTAAGAGAAGGACATGATATCAAGATCCTGCTAGGGTTAAGGTAACCCATATTGGTGAATGAATTTCTTGTATTAGTTCACATTGCCGAAAGATATTGCAAATATGCTAATAGATCTCCTTGTGAGACACCCAGATGGTGCACTCTAGAATATTACAAATAGATGTGAATACTAGCATGATAAAAAAAAATCAGATGATAGGCACTGAAAGTCGGGAAGGGATAAATATCACCTTAGTGTGACTCTCGTTCCTAGTACAACGAGGACTTTGAGCAACCCGAAGAGCCGATGAATGAAGCGAGGAGAGCTAAAAGTGAAAGAATGCCGTGTTAAAGTTTTCACAAGAAAAGGGATATGCAGAAATATTATTAGAGTAATGGGAGGAGAGATATGGAAGCATTATGAATAAGGTGTGATATATGGATAACGACGGTAGGAAAAAAAGAAAGAAGAAATGACAGTATTATAGAGTCTAGTCAAGTGAATGAAGAGACGAGAGGTGACAGGCCTTAGGACAACAAAAGAGTATATGCCATAAAGTCATATCCTCATCTCAAGGAATAAGTTCATGATTCTAACATGATTACCAGAAGGGAGAATTAAACCCTAGAGTAATAGAAATCAGTATGGACTGGTGAACAAGATAAACTAAACATGAATTAGGAACTGAGTGATTTGATAATAGTCAACATCATGAGAATTTCAGATTACATTCTCGCAATAATAGAACGGACAATAGAAGAAGATCCATGCTGAATTTAGAGAACGGTCATTTAGGGAGACGCTTCCCCAAAGCAAGCAATGTGAGCAAAGTTAAGCTTAAGAGACTGTATATGCCAGTTACACTAAGTGTCACCATCACGAGTGAGGAATTTAGTTATCCTTGGTACAGAAGGATTACCGCAAGGTGAGTAAGGGTCGTGGATGATGTGAAAGGACGCCAAAGATGAAGAGGAAAAATATCTATGGGCAGGTCGTCATAGCTCCAAGTCTTAGTACTCCACTAAAAGGGGGGAATATGGAATGATAAGGAAGAATGCGATAAAAATGAGAAAGGGATGAGATTACACTTATCCAAATGTTACAGACATACTATGATTCCAGAAAGTTATGTAAGCATGACGTCAAAAAAGAAAAAAAGGAAGTAAGGTATCCTGCCCGAGATGTTATTGATAAATAAGGAGCCATTGCAAAAAGTAAGTTAAGACAAAGAAAATACCCAAGAAAGATTACACGTTACATTGATATGAGAATGAGACAACAAGTAGTTGGTAGTTGATTCAGGAAGAGCCTAGTTGTGGCTAGACAGGAGGTTACAGACAAATCAATAGATCATGAAAGATAAACATAGTGAACCCCAACATGGAGAATTCAACCTCGTTGTAATGTCATTATAATACTTGAGATATATTCAAATAGGAGTCGGGGTAGTTAAAGGTACCGTATGAATGTTAAGGGAATAAAAGAGAGTGCCAATGTGAAGATAGTCAAATATCAGTTCAGAAGCAACCCTACAAGCACAAGGGTGAGAAGGTAAGT